ACTCACAATATGGCACGGCATCACCCTTCGTGCATTAATACTCACAATATGGCACGGCATCACCCTTCATGAATTAATACTCACAACATGGCACGACATCACCCTTCATGCATTAACACTCTCCCTTACCATAATGCAATGCATAAATAACAACAGGAAAATAGAATAACAAGTACAAACCTCACTTCACCATTTAATTCCATAATATCAATCTCAACTTGGAAATAAAAACTCAATTATTACCAGAAAATTTCCGTAAACATGATAAGAACGATAATTTGAACAACACTAGTATAACACGTAGCAATTTGGCATAAGAATGAGACAATATAAGAAAAACAGGGAAAACATGGAAAAATGGTAAATTTGGCGGCGCATAAGTACTCGTCACCTCACATATATGCCGCTCACATGAATTTCACTTAACAGATAATCTAAGGTTCCTAATTCCCTCAAGTCAGGGTTAGACACAACACTTACCTCGCTCCGAAGGCCACTTAATTCTCAATCACAGCTTTTCCTTTGGAATTCACCTCCAAACCACTCGTATCTATTCAAAAATGACTCAATAATATCAAATATTGCTAAAGGAATCAATTATATTGCATAAATTAAATTTCCCAAATTTTCCTCCAAAAAGTCAAAAAATCGACCCCGGGCCCGCTTGGTCAAAACCCGATGTTCCAACCAAAATTTTTTTACCCATTCACCCCCGAGCCCGAATATGTAATTAGTTTTGGAATCCGACCTCAACTTGAGGTCTAAATCCCAAAATTCCCGAAATCCCTATTTTCTACCCTAACCCCTAATTCTACCATGAAAACTCTAGATTTTAGGTTGAAAATTCAAGAAATGTAATGGGTAATTGAAAGAAAATGGTTTATAATCACTTACCAACAATTAGGGGAAGGAATTACTCTTGAAAAATCGCTCCTCACCGTTTGGTTTTTGAGAAAAATGAGTTTTTTTTGCAAAAATCCCGTTTTGAATTCTGTTAAGTGTTGGGCGACAGTGTTCATCGCGTTCGCGAGAGCACTGTCGCGTTCGCGAAGTGTATGGGCTACCAAGCCTTCGCGTTCACGAGGCAGTGCTCGCGTTCACGTAGGCTACCCTTCCCTGGCCTTTGCGTTCGCGAGACATTGCTCGCGTTCGCGATGAAGAAAAGGTTGACTTTCCCTCCCCAGTGCCTAACACGACCCGTTCGCGATGGGCTTGTCGCGTTCGCGAAGGGTAACGCCCCCATTGCTTCGCGTTCGCGACCAACCTTCACGTTCGCGAAGAAGAAATCCTCAGTTGCCCAGTTTACCCTTCGTGTTCGCGAGAGGACCTTCGCGAACGCGAAGAAGGATATGCGAGACACCAGAATCTACATAAAACCACATTTTCCAAAGTCCAAAATATCCCGTGGCCTATCCGAAACTCACCCGAGCCTTCGGGGCTCCAAACCAAACATGCACACAAGTCTAAAAACATCATACGGACTTGCTCGCGTGATCAAATCGCCAAAATAACACCTAGAACTCTAAATTTAGCACCAATTCAAATGAAATTCTTAAGAAGACTTTAAAACTTCTAATTTCTCAACTGGACGTCCGAATCACGTCAAATCAACTCCATTTCTCACCAAATTCCACAGACATGTCTTAAATATCATAATGAACCTGTACCGGGCTCCGAAACCAAAATACGGACCCGGTACTAACAATGCCAAATATCAATCAATTCTTAAAAATAAATAATTTACAAACTTTTAATTTTCTTAAAAAATTCATAACTCAAGATAGGGACCTCCAAATTCGATTCTGGGCATACGCCTAGGTCCCATAATTCGATACGGACCTACCGGGAATATGAAAGCACGGATACGGTCCCGTTTACCAAAAATATTGACCGAAGTCAACTAAAATCAACTTTTAAGGCAAATTTTTTTATTTTCATCAGTTTTCAACATAAAAGCTTTTCGGAAACCTGCCCGGACTGCGCACGCAACTCGAAGTGGGTAAAAATAAGATTTTTAAGGCTTAAGAGAGCAGATTCGAGTTCTAAAACATAAGATGACCTTTTGGGTCATCACAAAAGATTAGCTAGAAAATTGAGATCTACTTTCTCTCTCCAAAGCCTTCCTCTCTTCATTCTTTGTTCTCTCTTCTTCTTCAATTCCGCGACTATATTGATGGCAGATCTAGAGCTTGTTCTTAAAATGGTATCAGAGCAAGGTTAACTGCGATTCAGAGTTCTAGGAATCTGTAAATCCATTGCTTATTTCTGCTTCTGCTATTTCTGTCGAGAAAGAAACCCTAATTTTTTTTTTCTGATTTTTTCTTCGTTATGCCGATCGATACGCCAAAAAATGTAGTTGGATCTTCACATGCAATTGTTCAGCAAGTTGATTATAACGATCCATTATATGTTCATCCATCGGATACACCAGGTATTTCACTTGTCCCTCAACTATTGATAGGGACTGAAAATTATTCGGAGTGGAGTAATCTATGGTAATGTCATTACTTGTAAAGAAAAAATTAGGTTTTGTTGATGGTTCATGTACTAGAGATCAGTTTGAAAAGGATGTCTATAAATTACGCCAGTGGGATAGGTGTAATGCGATTGTGCAGTCATGGATTATGAGTTCAGTTGCACCAGAACTCAGAAGAGGAATTGTAAACTCAACCAATGCAGAGAAGGTGTGGAAAGCTATGAAAGAGAGGTTTGATAAAGTAAATGCCACCAAAATTTATCATATGAATAGAGAAATTAGTAGCTTGACACAAGGCATTTCGAGTGTTTCTGTGTATTTTTCCAGACTCAATGACTTGTGGGATGAATTAGAGTCAATAATTCCCTTTCGTGGTTGTGACTGTGAAAGATCTAGACTTTTTGTCACATTTCTTCACCAATAAAAACTCATGAAATTTCTAATGGGGCTAAATGATACCTATGCACCACAAATGAGTCAAATTCTGACGATGCACCCAACACCTACTCTTGATCAGGCCTACTCAATGATTGTGCAAGAGGGAAGCCAAAGGGTGAATGTTGGCACATCACATGCTGAAATTTTAGGGAGTACACCTTTGAATTTAGAGATTAGTGCATTAGTTACTGCAAATGCTTCGAATGTGGGACCTAGGGAAAACAATGGACTTGTGTGTGATTATTGTCACATGAAGGGACACTCAAGAGAATCATGTTACAAACTAGTGGGATATCCTCCAGGTTTCAAGTTCAATAACAATAGGAGAAGAGGAACACATGAGCATCCTGGAAACATGGCACACAATGCACATACTTCAGAGGTTCTTCAGAATGCTGCACATGGAAACAACATACCAGCTGCAGTACCAACTGTCCAGCCATTCACTACTCAGCAGTACCAACAAATTCTCAGGATGTTAAGCAAAGAGACTCAGCTAGAAGATGTAGAAAACATGGTAGGTAACTCACTTGATAACCAATGTAGTTGGATCATTGATTCTGGTGCTTCTAACTATATGGTTTCATCCGCGAATCTATTGTCATCTTTTAATCCATTTTCTGATCTTAAATATGCAACGACGCACTTACCTAATGGAAACAATACCAAAATTACTCACATAGGAACTTGTAATTTACCTAATTCTGATGTACTACATGATGTACTCTATGTTCCCCAACTCAAATATAACCTTCTGACAATTTCCAGATATACTAAAGAAATGAATAGTTCAGTTCACTTCTATCTTGATTTCTATATCGTTCAGGACCTCTTCAGTGGCATGGTAAATGGGATTGGTAGGCTTGAGGGTGACCTATACATCCTCAGTCCTTCAACACATGCTGTTGTTTCTTCTTCTAAGTGCATGACCACTTCAGTTCACCAAAACACCAATGCTCTGTGGCACAAAAGGCTGGGCCATGCTCCTCTTCCAGTTTTACAAAAAATTTCTTTAATAAGTAAACATTTGTCTAGTGTTCCAACTTCTGCTTGTAATTGTCTTGTGTGTTCATTAGCTAAACAAACAAGATTGTCTTTTTCTATTAGTAATTCAAAGTGTGCTAGTTCATTTCAGCTTGTTCATATGGATGTCTGTGGTCTATATAGAGTTAATACTCATAATGGATATAGGTACTTTTTAACTCTAGTTGATGATTGTACCAGAATGACTTGGACATTTCTTTTGAGGCTAAAAAGTGATGCATATGTTGTATTGACTGGTTTTCTTCACCTAGTAGAAAATCAATTTTCCACCACTATTAAAACCTTCATATCAAATAATGGTTTTGAATTCTTTAACACCTTATGTTCTAATCTCTTCAAAACCAAGGGAATTATTCATCAAAGTAGTTTTGTACACACTCCACATCAGAATGGAGTTATGGAAAGAAAACATAGACACCTTCTAGATGTATCTAGAGCTTTAAGGTTTCAAGCAAACATTCCTTTAAAATTATGGGGGGACTGCATTCTTACAGCAACATACATCATCAATAGACTACCTAGTCCCGTCCTAAATGGAAGATCTCCTTATGAGATATTTCATGGAAAGCCACCAACCTTTGATCATATCAAAACATTGGGATGTTTTTGCTATGCCACAAAACTAAAGTTTCATGACAAGTTTACTTTTAAATCCATTCCTGCTGTATTTATGGGATATGCACCAACACAGAAGGGCTACAAACTCTATGACATTGAAGCTAATAAATTTTTAGTCAGTAGGGATGTTGTCTTCAAAGAAGACATTTTCCCCTTCAAATATCCCAGAAACAAGTTTGTTGCCTGTCCTGATTCTGCTCCTAAATGTCCTACTTCTGATTTTTTTTCCTGTCTCTGATGTACAACCACTTGTTACACCATCTTCTAGTGTTGATCATTCTAGTTTACCAGCTGATTCTTCCTTCCCTCCAGATTCACCATCTCATTCTTCCTTTTCCAGTCCTGCTACACCTGCCTTCTCACATCCTCCATATTCAACTGATCCTGCTACCCCTACACCATCATCCTCCCTTGTTGATTCACCTTCTTTTCTACACCAACCATTCTCACAATCTTTACAGCCCAGGAAATCCACTAGAACATCTAGACCTCCCATTTGGCTAACTGACTATGTTCACCCTCTTTTGCCTTACATTTCTTCCCCTTATCCCATTCAACAATTTGTGTCTTATTCTCATCTTCCTTTCCATTTTCAGTCCTTCCTTGCCTCTTTTCATCAGACACTGAGCCTTCTTCTTACTCTCAAGCCATCAGAGATGACAGGTGGATTCAAGCAATGAAGCTTGAAATAGAAGCACTAGAACAGAATAACACTTGGGGAGTAGTTACCCTGCCACCTAGGAAAGTGCCCATTGGATGTAGGTGGGTATACAAAATCAAATATAATGCTGATGGCTCTGTTGAGAGGTTTAAAGCAAGGTTAGTAGCAAAAGGATATACCCAGCAAGAAGGGATTGATTTTCATGACACTTTTTCCCCAGTAGCTAAGATGACTACTGTGAGGACTGTCATAACTATTGCAGCTCTTAAGCATTGGCCTCTTTTCCAGATGGATGTACACAATGCCTTCCTGAATGGTGATCTCTTTGAGGAGGTCTATATGACACTGCCCCAAGGATTTGGTAGCCAGGGGGAGAACAAAGTTTGTAGACTCCTCAAATCCCTATATGGGCTGAAACAAGCCTCTAGGCAATGGAACTTAGAACTAACACAAGCCCTATTAACATCTGACTTCAAACAGAGCAAACATGACTACTCTTTATTCACTAAAACTACTAATGGTGCTTTTATGCTCATACTTGTATGTGTAGATGATTTGCTTGTTACAGGTAATGATTTGGCAGAGATACAATCAGCCAAAGATGCTCTGCCCAAAAACTTTAAGCTGAAAGATCTTGGAGAACTAAGATACTTTCTAGGTATTGAGTTTGCTAGATCAAATGAGGGCATCATAATGTCACACAGAAAGTACACCTTAGAGATGATCTCTAAAGTAGGCCTCTCAGGTTCAAGGCCTAAAGAAACTCCATTGGAACAACATCTAAAGCTAACTAGTGTAGAATTTGATGAGCTAATAAAGACAGGAAGTTTTGATGAGCTTTTGGAAGATAAGAACATTTTTCAGAGGCTAGTTGGGAAGTTGTTGTACTTAACGATAACCAGACCAGACATTGCATATGTAGTACAGTGTTTGAGTCAATTTATGCATGCACCAAAAAGGTCACATTATGAAGCAGCTCTATATGTAGTGAAGTATGTCAAGAATCAACCTGGACTTGGACTCTTAATGTCAAGCACTAGTGCAGAAAAAAAAATTGGTTACTGTGATTCAGACTGGGCTTCATGCCCCATGTCTAGGAAATCAGTTACTGGTTTCTGTATCAAGCTAGGAGCATCACTTATCTACTGGAAAGCAAAGAAGGAGAGCACTATATCTAGAAGTTCGGCAGAAGCTGAATATAGAAGTATGGCATATACAGTAGCAGAATTGATATGGTTGAAAGGACTATTGATGGAGTTACAGGTGAATGTGAAGATTCCTATTGAGTTGTATTGTGATAACAAGGCAGCCTTACAAATAGCAGCTAATCCTATGTACCATGAGAGAACAAAACGTATAGAGATTGGCTGCCACTTTATAAGGGAGCAAATACAAGAAGTCTTGATAAGAACTACATATATATATCCAGTCAAGAACAGTCTGGAGACATCTTGACAAAGGCTTTAGGCCATCAACAACATTCAGCATTACTTTCCAAGTTGGGAATGAAAAACACTTTCCATTCTCAACTTGAGGGGGAGTGTAGAAATAAATAGTTGTACATTTAGCTATTTATATTGTACTCTTCTAGATGAATAATTAGCTAGAGGATAGTTGCTTAACTGTTATAAGAATAGTTAGTGGAGATATTTTCTTGTAATAAGTATAATAGTGTACAGTGTACCTTCACGAAGATTAGATAGAAAATTCAGATCTACTTTCTTTCTCCAGAACCTTCCTCTCTTCTCTTCTCTGTTCTCTCTTCTTCTTCAATTCCGCGACTCCATTAATGGCAGACCTAGAGCTTGTTCTTAACAATAACAACCATATAGAATCTTTAAGACTACTAATAGTAATTCTAAAAACATGAAGTTTCTATCTTGCGTAAGATATAAGATTTGAAGATTTACACATGATATCTTTTTCATCGGACAAATTTCAAAAAATATTTAGAAAGAAAATTAAATTATTAAGCTCTTAGATTGTCTTCGAAGTAAAGTTATCGGATACCGTTGTGCTGAAACTTTGGACACGAATCTTCGCCAATTCAAGCATTATATCTCTAGTAAGAGAATGAAATCTACGAAACAAGCTACAATTACAAAGTTCTTCTATCAATCTTGAAAAAAATTATTTTTCTAGGTAACTTTAAAATGTCTGTCTTAGAGTTTAAACCTTTATACGTTTAGTTATGAGTGTATTAATAATGTATTAGCTTTCTTCAATATTTAACTAGTGACATATGCATATCTTTTGAGATTTTAAGTTTGAATAATTTTCTTATCTTTTATATGTAACATTGAAAAAGGAAATTAAATAATTAATTTTTGGATAATTTTATCTATAACAACCAAAAAATATTTAAACATCAAATGTTGTTATAGGTTTATAACAACCGTTCACTATAAAAGCCAAAAAATATCAAAACAAACGAGACTGTTATAGAAAGGGTTGGCTATATTTGTGTGGGCCAGGCCTTAGGCTGCCCACATCACACTACTTGGGAGTGCGGCCTTTCCCCGAGCCTTACATGAATGCGGAATACTTCCTGCACCGGGATAACATTTTGCAGGTTTCATGCAAATGAAATTGCAAGGAAGGAAGAAATACGTCTTGAATTGTGAGAAATAAAAGCAGTAAGTACAGCGAGAAAGAAACGGGGACATTACTCAATTCTTCTTAGCTAGCTTTCAAAGACCATTGGATAAATGATAAGAAGGTTGCAGATTTGCAAGGAACAAATGCAAGCAAATGAATTATACAAGAGACATAATTACAAAGCACAATACAGTAGATTACTGATTCAATTGTTCTTATCGTGGACATTTAATGAGAGAAGAGATCAAATAGATCGAAAATAGACTCAAGTATTCTTATCTTTTCCTTTTGAGGATGACTTGAACCATGGTATCCACACAGATGTAGTCCTCTGGTAGAGCTTATATGCTTCAGCTCTGTAGGCTTGCTTAAGCATCCTATTCTCAACAAGCCCAGTGACATGTGCCAGACACATGCTATTAGTGAGTGCACCGACAAAGGTCCAAGCCTGACCCAAGTTCCAGGCAAATACGACAAGTCCCCACCACCATAACTGCTCCCCGAAATAATTTGGATGTCGTGAATACCTCCAGAGGCCTTCGTCGAGATTGGGAACCATTGGCTCGCCAAGCTCTTTTAGTTTCTGATTTCTGCTCACAAAATTGTGGAGCTGTGTATCCGCATAATAGGCGATTATGATGGCAGACAAGCAGATGAATACGGCAATGAAATCCCAGATATTCCATGGCTTGTCTTCAGAGTGGACCACATACATAGGTAGGCATATACCCATCAGAAAAACCTGCAAAAGTCATGTCACAGAACAAAATAAAGAACACCATAATAAAGGAGCCACGAATGTTTCTCTGTTCCGCCAGCTGACCACTGCAAATTCAATTTATCATATTTCGAAATATTACATCAACCAGACTTGATTTACACATTTAATTCAAACAAGAAGTTGGTTGACCAAAAGGGCTTGGATAGCTGTTGCTAATGTTCAGTAAAGGCCAAGAAAGTTGGTTTTTCAGCGACGATGTGATATGGCATGGTATTTACCAGTTCCATGCTTTTGAGCAAACAATGTTTTATTCATACGGTTGTGCCCAACAGAAATACTAACTAAAGTGTGTGGAACTTATGAAACAATCGATCATTTTACATATGAAAATTGCCTTACTAAATCCTAAATGGGCTGAATAATTTATTTCTTCAGAAGAGCAGACACTTTGAGGGAAGAACTGCAATGCACTTTGCTTATGAGGCATACTCTTTTACCGGTTGATTGAACAGCAGAACTTTCCAACATACATGAAGACCACGCAACAAATCTTTGAAAGTAGTAATTAGGTATGCTATATCTAGCTGCAGGAAACGGGCAATATGTGTGGGCTCTAAAATCAGGCAAATATTCCTTTCTCAAGTTAATAATGTGGGGTCTTCCCCCTAGAATATTTATGAATGGGACTCTTCTCATTGCACAAACAAAACTACTAAGAAAAGAAGCCAGACATAAAGTGAAGTTGCATAAATAATCATACATCCTCAATTCTGAATGAATAATTTACTGATATATAAGTGTTTCATTTCAAGGGCGGATGTATAGCATGAGCTATGGGTTTGGTCGAACCCAGTAACTTTGGCTCAGACCTTGTATGTGTTAAGAGATCTACTAAATATGTACAAATATTAAATTTCAAATGCAGTAACTCATACTAGTTCAAATCGTGGAAGCAACCAATAATGCTTGTATTAGAGTATGTTGTCTACATCACACCCTTGAGGTGCGGCCCTTTCCCGGACCCTGAGTGAACACAAAATGCTTTATGCACCGTGCTGCCCTACAGTAACTCATACGAATCACTAGATACGGTGGCATTCCGAATCCATAAAGTTCAAATCTTGGATCCGACTCTATTTCATTTTACCAATAAATAAATTGATGCGTGTCATGCTGATTTGTTGTCTATAGGCTTCCACGGTTTTCTACCCATTAGTCATGACCATAATGCATAATCATGATTCTCATTAAGCTATATAAAAGAAACATAGTAGTGAATTCATTACCTGCTGAGAGAGATAAACAGCAAAGAAAGAGATCCACCACCAGTTTTTGCCAAACTGTTGGCTCATATCTGTAAATCTCCAATCTTGCCTGTGTCCCCACTGCCAATTCTCACGCCGGAAGTAGTTATGCGTAAGCCTTATACTCCAAATCCAACTCAAGATTATAACCACATTGGACCGCCAAATATTGTACTGTGCCAACGGATGATTTGCATAGAAATGCACCAGCATTACTGGAATCACTGTCCAGTACAAATCTATCATCTGAAAAAATCAAATTCCAACAGTAATCCAATTCATCAAATCTATCAAAAATCACAAAATATTAGTACTCCCTCCTTCTCACTTCAGTTTGACTATTTGGCCCCATTTTTCAGTTAATGCTCGACTTTATTCTTCAAAACAACAACAACT